AGAAAGGAACAATTGAAATCGCATCATATGACCCCTTTAAGAAAACTAGGTAACACTGTTGTGAGGGTGTTTCTAACAGGCTGATAGAATGATGGCAAATTTGACATCTTTCTGTCTTCTGAACCTTGTTATCATTCTTTCAATATTTTTTTTGTCTATTGGAAAGTCAAATGCTATCTATTATTTTGTTTTTGCAGCAAATGTGGATGCAAAAATTGTATGTGTTGTAGTTTCCATTCACCACTATAGAGGTTTACCCAACTCTGATGACTTCCACCTCTGAGAACTCATGTGAAAAGGGCCCATTACACCACTGTTTGTTCAGATCATATAAAGAACGCCCTCTCATATGGAAGGCCTTGTTTATCTTTGATGACTTCATTACAATTTCTTCATAGCTGGTTTATTAGTAGAAGTCATCATATTTGGGTACACTTCCATAGTTGTTAGCAGAAACTACAACAAATATAGCAAAAGAAAAACAATAGCGTTTCTATGGCTCTCCATGAGAGTAAAAATGTCAAGAGATTGATAATGGGGGTCAAAAGAGAGGAAGATGTCAACATTTTTGATCAGCTGTTGGATCAGACACCCTCACGCAGCAGCATTAACTAGTTTTCTGTGATTTAAAACAAAGGTAATATAACACAAAGTATAGTGTTATTAATGTACATAAATGATTTTTTGGTGAAATGGGCCCATAATGTTAATATAGTGAAACAACTATACTCTGAGAAAACCTTAGGCAAACATTTGTCCACTTCTCCGCCACAATCAATCATTCTACCTGAAAAGAAAATCCTGCAAAATGCGACTGGCCATAATGAGGCGCGGGTTGCGGCCCATGGAGAGGATCTGGAGCGCAAGATTGAAGCGTAGCATATCTGTCGTTTTCTCTGTATCAGCAGCAGTACCAGCACCACAACAACTGCAGGAGTAACATTGCATTATTTTAATGTTCATCTGAAAAGTGTTTGCAATGTTAGATACATCTGTCTGCAAGAGGTGCTTACTAAATATTCGGGGTTATGTAGTGAATTTTGCTGCAGTTTTTATCTGCCACAACCTCTCCAGATGTTGCCCTAGTATCCGCACCAAGAACCACACCATCCTGAGCAGAAAAGAAGTACAGACACAGAAAAAAACACTGATTACATGTAACTGTGGCAAATTATTGTATCATTATGCAAGCTGTTGTACCTTAAAAATGACTCCAGCAATTGTTGTCCCAGTTTTTTTAACCTTTAACTTTAACGTGCTTTTCTCCCCTGAAGCCTGAAGCCTTGAGTTTCTGTTGACAAGAGATGCGGGATTATTACCTTCTGCAGTTTCACAATTCAGCACGACTATTTGGTTCTTTTAATGTAAAGGCACGCACATTTACAAGTCATCTCTTCATTTCTGAATTCACTTGTTAAATTCGTTCAAAACAGACTTCACCATTTAAACACGACTTTCTGCGAGATTTCCTTTCACTTTCATTTAGCTTTATTTTACAAAACTTGAACAAAAGAGATTATCCATATTATCAGTTATCACTAATGTTTAAAGCCTGAGATTACGATTCATAGTCTGTAACACCTACCTGATACAGTTTTCAAAACTGAAGCCACCACTACCGAGCTCGAGCACATAGGGAGAAGGCATGTTCACCTTTCGCGGCGCAACTGAATATCCCGAATGATGTGATGTCAAACCGAATGGAGGCGCACGCGCTACAAGGAAGTTCGGCACGGCTCCCCAAAACCGTAATCAACCAGCGGATGTCTCCGAGGGTGCAACGTCGACGGTAAAAAGCCTCAAAGAAACAAAAATGAATGAAATGAGTGTAAATGGCGAATGGCGGTCCTCGAAAGTCAGTACAGAGGTAAGACAATTGATTTGAAATCTAAAGACGAGTTTTAATAAGTGTTGCTTTGATCAGCCTTGTATTATGTATTAATGCATAATACTCAGTATTGTATTAAAGCATAACTGTCAAATCTCGTGTAGCCTATAACATATTCTCTCCACATTTTTTGAGTTTTAAAAAAATTAAGCGAAAGCATAATATGCACAATCATGTCTGACCCCCTCACATCGACACCTAATAACGTGTTTATATCTTAATGAAATACATTTTAGACAACCATCATAGCAGTGAGATATGACGGAGGAGTGGTGATTGGATCTGATTCACGAGCCTCTATGGGAGAGTAAGTGTTCTTTCTTCTTTCTTTGCAGTTGTGCACGAACCACTTATCTAATACTGTGGATATTTCTGTTTTTTCAGAGAATATGTATCATCAAGGGTGATCAACAAAGTTATCCAGGTTCATGACAAGATATTCTGCTGTATGGCTGGATCACTGGCTGATGCTCAGGCGTCACAAATGCTGTCATCCATCAGCTCAGTTTTCACAGGTCAGCATATGTCAATTTACCTTCAGCTTGTCTTTTGCAGCTGCATAATTATTATAGAGCGAGGATGGATGGATAAAAGAGCATAAACATTCCCGTATGACATAGCAACCTATCTCTTCTGTATAGACTAGTGACTTTATATTTAACGCTGCTTATACATTTGTTTTAGCATGCAAATGGAGGAGCCCCCTTTGGTCAAATCTGCTGCAGCCATCATGAGGAGCTTCTGCTATACCCATCGAGATGAACTCAGTGCCGGGTTTATTGTGGCTGGTTGGGATCGCAAAAATGGCCCTCAGGTGTGTAATGTCATTTTTTAAGTTTCATATATCTATGGAATGTTTTTCAATTCAATTCTAAAACATAATAAGACTTGTCTTCCTTTTTTCAAAGGTGTTCCAGGTGTCTCTTGGAGGCATGATTCTAGAGCAGGCGTTTACTATTGGTGGGTCTGGTAGCACCTTTATCTATGGCTATGCAGATGCCAAATTCAAGCCTGGAATGACCAGAGAAGAGTGTCTCACTTTTACAACTAACGGATAATTGCAGTTAATTTTATATGCTTTGACAGCTGCACTCACTCCCTTTCCATCAATCTGTCCCTCTTACTCTACTTTCTTTTACACTGTGCTGTTTGTCTCAGAATCACCGAATTATTCACACGTTATTCATTATTTTTCCCCAGCTCTTTCATTAGCCATGGACAGCGACAATGTGAGTGGTGGCGTCGTGCATCTTGCCATTGTCACAGAGAAGGGTGCAGAGAGGCAGCTGATTCCGGGCAACAAACTGCCTGTTCTACAGAGCTTGGCTTAAGTGCCAACATTTTACCTGTTGTTGCTTTCACTTGTGTGTATTCTCATGAATTTTGTACTGTAAACAAAATCATTAAAAATGGCCAAAAACACAGTCTTTGAGTAGCCCATCAAAAAAATTTAAAAATCAATAAAATCAATAGCTCAACATAATGTTCTTGCGTATGTGTTCTGTTATTCTCACAGTTAATTAACCCAGTACACTATGAAATAGGAAATATATGCTTTATAAAAAAAATTTGAAAACTCACATTTTTACTCAGAAATTAAGCATACAGAAGACCTGGGAGTTGAGCTCTCTGAAGATACGTGGGATAAGTGTTTGGCTGTGACTGTCAACAGCAGACACCAACTGATCCAATTCAAGGTTGTTCGCCGCTTGCATTACACTAAAACCAAGCTGCATAAAATTTTCCCTTCTGTTTCACCAAAGTGTGACAAGTGTAAGGTGGCAGAAGATACAACTTCTCATGCTTTCTGGTTTTGCCTTTTATTGTCTGGATTTTGGTCAAACATATTTGACTGGTTCTCCAAAGCTTACAATAGGCCTCTTCCAGCGGATGCAGAACTTGCTATCTTTGGTTTTTCCCAGCGCACCTTTTGCCTTCCAGGAACATTACAACAGTCTCTAATGCTGCATGACTGTGGCTAGAGACTTGTGCTTAAGAACTGGAAATCCCCATCACCCCCTTTCTTTCAGATGTGGATTACGGGCATAATCTCTGTTATACAAATGTAAAGACTCAGATTCTTGAGGACTAATTCCATTGAAAAGTTTTCCGCTGTTTGGGGTTTATTTCTTGGATGTTTGGACGAGTTAGCCGCTCAACTGGTTCCTAGAGACTCCTCTGAGGCTGTACATCCCTTCTGGGCACCTTGACTGATTGTTTTGCAGCTTGTTACTAGTACTTTTGTATACTGGACCAAATATTCATCCATATTATCATTATACATTTTTTAAATTTAATTTATTGTTTATTCATTATTATTATTTTATTTTAACATTATTATTATTGTTATTATTTGACTTGATTTCCCTTTTTTTTCTATTTGTGTGTGTAGTCCGAGACGGTGTTGTTTGCTTGTTCTTAACTTTGAAAAATCCTTAAAATAAAGTATAAAAAAAAAAAGAAGAAGAAAAGAAATTCAGCATAGGATTAGAGGAGAGTAGAGGAGACTGGGGAGTGTTTCAACACTTTTTGCTTCAACATCTGATATTTTTTATCTATTTATTCATTTGTTTTTTGTTCTTTGTGCCTCAAACTTTGACTTCATTTGATATAAGACAATATAGAAAACATGGATATCAGTTTCAATTAAGTACTTAAATATCGCATATTTAAGAGTCTATGTGCAAAATAAGGAAATGACAGAATGAAAACAACGAATTTAAATGAAAAATCACTACTTTGATATGTTATACCAAAAAATGGTTAAGCAGGTGTTGTAAAATGAGGACGCTTCTGTGCGCACAGGAGCGCAGCTCAGCGTCGTGACGCGTTTGCACACGAAAGTGAAAGTAGGCTGGTGAGTTGTCTTTTGCTCGACACATTTCTATCAGTTTTTAAATAATTAACCCGCTTAACCAAATACCCTGTAATTGCTGATACAGCTGTACAGGAGCGTTCACAGTCCGACACGATGCAAGGGAGTAATTGCGACTTATGGCGGGTCCAAAGGATTCAAAATGGGAGTAAGTCTGATCTCAATGAATCGGTCAAACACAGTAACATTTCTTTCCTATTGTAATTTTTTCAGATAATGGAATATTTAAACGCAGTTTTCCCTTTTACCCTGTCTTTAGACGACAATTATAGCCATAGAGTTCGATGGTGGAGTAGTGCTTGGTTCCGACTCGAGAGTTTCTGCAGGGTGAGACTTCACTGAACTTGACATCTTACCTGCTACTAGTCTCTAAATATGTCTCTGGGTCTATAGATTGATGTTTCTTTCCAGTATCAGGATGGGAGAATAATTAAACATAAATTGCCTACTTTAATCATATGTTTTCCAGGGCATCTGTGGTGAATCGTGTGATGAACAAGCTCTCACCTCCATGACAATATCTATTGTGCTCTGTCTGGATCAGCAGCTGATGCTCAAACCATTGCTGAGATAGTCAACTACCAACTGGATGTGCACAGGTACCAGACCACTTTCATCTACAGTCATGGCCAAAAATATTGGCACCCTTGGTAAATATGATCAAAGAAGGCTGTGAAAATTAATCTGCATTGTTAATCCTTTTGATCTTTTATTTAAGAAAATCAAAAAAATCTAATCTTTCATTGGAGAATAAGAATTTAAAATGGGGGGGAAATATCATTATGAAATAAATGCTTTTCTCAAATACACTTTGGACATAATTATTGGCACCCCTAGAAATTCTTATGAGTAAAATATCT